ATAAATTGTCATATCACTCTTTTTATTTTTTTATACATCTTTACATAAAAATAAAAAAATTATTACAATAGCCTGCTCACAAACGAGACATAATATACCCATGAAGATAGTGGGTGCTTGAGTTGCCTTGGCAATGAAGTCCTATAAGGTAAATAGCTAAGATAGTGATCATTTATGAAACTCAAATGGTTCAACTGATTCGACTATTAGGGTGTTTTAAATTATTTATTTATTTATTTTGAAAGTTTGCGTCAAATTATTTATTATAATTTTTATTTTAAATATGATTTAAATAAATTAAAAAGATAATTAATTACACTTATAGATTTTCTACTTTTACATACTTGTACCAAACTTGTACGTAATGTTAACTATTTGTGTCCACTACTTAAAACAGTACATTATATTTACACTTGGCTCCCGCAAAAGAGACTGAGTTGTCTATTAATTTAATCAATTAAAAGAACGAGAAGAAAAAAAAAAAAAAAAACAAAAGATTTTGTTCCTCCCATCAAATAAATCCTTAGGAAAGTGGAAAGGATTAAGGAAAGTTTGATCAAAGAATCTTCTAACAAGATATTTCAACAAATCAAGTCAAGTTAAAGCTTTAAAATTCTTGATTCAACTTCATCCAAATAAAGAAATATTTAGGATTTTTGCATTTTCTATTGTTTGATACGATAAAAAAAAGTCAACAAAAAAATATTTTTGTGATCAATTAAAAAAAAAAATTATATGAACAAAAAATACTTTTTGATTTTAAAATGTAAAAAACATATTTCAAACTAAAGTCTCGTTAATACCACGATGATGACAACCACCACCTTAACCCACCCACCTCCTCAACCACTTGTCACCACCATCACTATCAATACAATTACTATTACTATTGCAATTAATTTTGAAGTAGCAACCACACATAAAATATTTTTAATTTTTATTTCGTATAAAACACTTTCCGTTGATAAAATGTCTATTGAAACAAAGAGAGTGTGACAAAACATCATTAATCTAACGTTTCATTACTCGGGCTGGACTAAAACGACAGAGGAAAGCGACTTCTTGGGCTCTACAGATGGGATTGACATTAATTTGTCAACGAATTGTCTTCAAATAATATTAATAATAATTGTATTCAAAATTTTCAAGCCCTTTCTATGAAGAAAAATAATTAGGGGAAAGGATTTGTAAAGTATATATTATATTTTTTTAGGTAAATTCTTATAAATATATATAAGTTATCTTATAAAATTGTGTAAATTCTCACAAATATATATAAGTTATGATTTCTCAAAATTTTATGAGTTAATTTACGTATATTTATAAAAATTTATATAATTTTGTGAGACAATTTATGTATATTTATGACAACTAATGCAAATACATATGGCATGTAAGTGCACACTGAAGAATTGTCCACAAGAGAAAGGCTAATCTATGAAGAAATTATAATTTGTTGCAGGGACAAATCTAAATAGTATTCTAACACATATTTTATTAGTATAACAACCACCATCTTAACCCACCCACCTCCTCAACCACTTGTCACCACCATCACTATCAATACAATTACTATTACTATTGCAATTAATTTTGAAGTAGCAACCACACATAAAATATTTTTAATTTTTATTTCGTATAAAACACTTTCCGTTGATAAAATGTCTATTGAAACAAAGAGAGTGTGACAAAACATCATTAATCTAACGTTTCATTACTCGGGCTGGACTAAAACGACAGAGGAAAGCGACTTCTTGGGCTCTACAGATGGGATTGACATTAATTTGTCAACGAATTGTCTTCAAATAATATTAATAATAATTGTATTTAAAATTTTCAATCCCTTTCTATGAAGAAAAATAATTAGGGGAAAGGATTTGTAAAGTATATATTATATTTATTTGGGTAAATTCTTATAAATATATATAAGTTATTTTATAAAATTATGTAAATTCTCACAAATATATATAAGTTATGATTTCTTAAAATTTTATAAGTTAATTTACGTATATTTGAAAAAATTTACACAATTTTGTGAGACAATATATGTATATTGATGAGAACTAATGCAAATACATATGGCATGTAAGCGCACACTGAAGAATTGCCCTCAAGAGAAAGGCTAATCTATGAAGAAATTATAATTTGTTGCAGGGACAAATCTAAATAGTATTCTAACATATATTTTATTAGTTAAAATAGTAAGTTTCATCTTTTTTTTTATTTCCTATAAAGAAACAACATAACACATGTCGTAATTTATATAGTGTGAAGCAATCTTTTTGGATCACTAACGCCTCATTTGAGAATAAATTTTTTTAGTGATTTTTTGACTTTTTACGAAAAAATATACAAATAAGTAGAGAGAGTAGTGTGACAAGTTATAATAACTTTTTAATTTTTTGGCTAAAACTGAAAATTGCCAAACAAATTACTTACCAAACGAAACCTAAATAACTTCTCCACCACATACATACAAAATTCACTAGTCTAGAGGCTGTCAAAGTAGCCAATGTGGGCCCAAAACGGTGTGCCAAACACGGATTAGGTGGCTAGGATGGATAGGATGTGTAAATTTATTTTTTTGATAATAAATACAAATAAAAATAAGAAAGAAGATAATGTGGTACAATACACATAGCAAATGAGTTCGACCCCTACCTCAAAAAAATAAAAATAAAAATAATAATAATAATAATGAAAAAGAAAAAGAAAAGGGAGAAAAGTTTCCCACGAGATCTATAGAATCAAGGATTATGGCCATCAACATTGTAAAATTTTGTTTGAAATCAATTGTTTTGACCATGCTTTGGGCATATTTTTGTAGTGTTCTCTTGGGTGTTTCAGAGTTGCTGTGTAGAATTCATTATTTATTTTAGTATATTTTTATTTAAAAATTTATTTTTATTCCGTTCTCAATTTTAAGAATCAAGATCACCTATGAATTATAGCAAATGAGTATATGGTGGCATGAGACCATCATAAGGCCTAATTGATTTGTTCATTCAGTTGTTTCGGTCCTATAGTTAAAAAAAATTCAAATGACAGTTTCAAAAAATCTTCGACAAGATTCATATAATGAATGACTATGAGCATCCATCCTATCAAATTTCGGTTAAAATTAATAATTTTAATCATGTTTTTGACATATTTTTGTTTTAGGGTAATTTTTTTAGTAATTTTTCTTATTTTCTTTTTAATTCAATGCATAGTTTTTAGAGTCAAGATCACACACTTCCTTCTATACTTTTTTTTTTTTTTGGTTCCCTTACGTTTTATTGGCTAATGAAATTATACATATAATTAAAAGTGATATTATAAACCAATCAGATTTAAAAGGACAGAAAAAGATAATATTTGATTATAATTTTTTTTATAATTTATAATTTTTAGTTTGTTAGGATTTGAATATCTTTTAAGTAATCGTGAGACTTTTGGATTGATTTTTCTTGATAAAAGATAATTATTGCTAATTAATAAAATTTTAAATTACTATTATTATTTTTTATATTTATTTTTAACTTTTTAATATTTTAGTGTTATTGTGATCTATCACAATGGAATCTCTACCGCACGCTTTGCATAAATTGTAGTATGTGTTTATGATCAGATTGAGATCAACAAGATTTAAAAATAAATAAATAATGAATAATAATAAAATTAAAAATAATTGTGTGGTAGCATCAAAACATTGACTCCGTGGACAACGCCGAGCAAGCCCGTCCAAGATCACAGGTCCCTTCTGCCAGCTTACCACTTGGCAAACTCACCCAGCATCTCTGGAACACTGCCGGCTTCCATTGGTTGCTCATGTAATAGTGTGCTCGTTTGACATGTAGTTTGGGTGAGATGGGGTCTATTTTAATCATAAAAAGGTAAAATTGATTTTTTAATCTCAGACAAAAAGTTGTTACACTCAAATTATAATTATTACATTTTTCTTTTACAAAAGTCAAAAAAAGTTAAAAAGTCAATCCGTATCCCAAACGAACCCAATATATCAATAGGAATGGCTTTCTGGTGGGATCGATCATGAGTCTTATTTTGACAATTTAAACTATTTATTTTTGATTGATTATGCGTGTAAGTCATTGGAAGAAAAAATCAAATTAATATAATCGTAACCCATAATTTTATCATATTTGTCAGTAAAAAATAAAAAATAAAAAAGACGATTTATATATGTATATACATATTTGTTGTCTATTTATTGCAAACACTCCTCAAAACATGTAGATATGTTTATCAAATCAATGATTTTCTTTTTCGGTAGATGATCTACACATATTTGAACAAAATGAACTGTGGTGGGCCCCACGAAACACATGAATGGTTAAAATTCTATAAAATTTGTTTGTGAGTCCTTTAAAAAATTCTATCTATCCATTTGTTTTATGTGTGATTTTATATTTAATTTTTATGTTCCCGAACTTATTGAAATTATATTGGAACGTGATTTTGTTCTCCAATTGGACTGTGTTGTCGAGTTTTAGTGAGCCCATCATAAGACTTACCTTGATAATTTAAACTGTTAATATTGTAAAGCCTTTCAGCTAGATCATTTAAGCAAAAAAATAAAATAAAATTGAGGTTGATCAATTGCTATAACTAAATGAATACATTTTTCTTGAATACAATAGACGGTCTATTATCAAAATTATACTTACCATCTATTTTTTTTTTAAAAAAAACAAATAAATATGAACTACGCATATATTTAAAGATTATTCAATTAACTTAAATTTTTACATAAATACTATTTAAAAAATTCTACTAATTAAACTATTCAAATCACTAATAAGCCCATAAAAACCCCAAAACACGGTCAAATTGAATCTACCTACAAGAAACAAGACTGGTCCAATTATATTCATTATTCATTATTGGTAATGGCTACAATCATTCAAAAAGTGTCCTTTTCAATTATGACCCTATAATGCAAGTTGAGTGCTAGGATATATATGATTTAAAATGAGCCACCCATGTAGGAATTTAAAGTTGGTACCATAAAATTAGTTAAGAAGAGAGAGAAAGAAAGAAAGAGGGGGGACGGCAAACATGAGTACTGAGTGAGACCCATTTTGCCATTTCTACATCACACAATTTTACACCTTAGAATTTAGAAATAGACCCCATTTCCTCCTCTTCCTTCTTCTCCTCCACCTTATCTATCCCTTGATTCTTCATCTTCTTGATTTTTATTTTTTTTCTAGGGAGAAATATTGTTAATAGAGAGAGAGAGGGAGAGAGAGAGAGATGGGAAATTGCCAGGCTATTGATGCTGCAGCACTAGTAATACAACATCCGAATGGGAGGATAGACCGGATGTACTGGTCGGTGAGCGCGAGCGAGGTGATGAAAATGAACCCGGGTCACTATGTTTCTTTGATTATTCCATTGCCTATTTCCGACGAAGAAAAAACCGATGAAAAGACCGTACGGTTCACCCGGGTTAAGCTTCTCCGGCCTACTGACACTCTTGTTCTTGGTCGGGCTTATCGCCTTGTCACTACTCAAGGTCTTTTTTTTTTTTTTTTTGGTCCTTTTTAAAAGGATTTTTTTTTGTTTTTGTTTTGAATTTTTGTTGAGTTTTTTTTTTTTTTGGTTTTAGAGGTTATGAAGGTGTTGAGAGCGAAGAAGTCCGCGAAAATGAAGAACCAGCAAGAATTAGGTGAGAAATTGCCGACGAAGGCAGAGAAACAGAGTTCGATTTGTGATGAAGAAGCAGGGAAGATTAAGTCTGAATTGGAGAAAACCAATCAGGTAAATTTTTTAAAACTTCAAACAAAAAAGTGAGACAGTTGCAAGACAATTTGAAAATGAAACAATAGCCGTGAATTTCATTGAGTTGTGGATTTTATATAATAAAATAGATAACGCAAACGAGATAGTGTACTCATATCATGTGTAACAGGTATACCACGAGTTTTGTATCATCAACCTATCGCGTTCCTATATCATGAGAAACATGTTTATTTCTGCCAGGATAAAAAAGGATTTTTTTTCTTTTTTTTGTTTAATGGGAGAATAAAGCAAAATATTAGGATATCAAATAAATCAGTAACTTGGTTTTATTTCAATTGCTTCAAAACTGTGACTATTTTTCAAAATGATTAGATTGTGCTTGCATAACTTGTAGACAATAAATACATGCTTCCTTCAATTGTCCAGAATACTGTTATTCAAAAAACATTTCTTAAGAAAAATGAACTAAAAAAAAAGAAAAGAAAAAAAAAATTGTACTTTCCTCATAATTGTTCAATTTACAGGAAAATTTATCTACAGAAACAATTCAAACTTTTCCGCGAAATACACAAAAACAAAAAAACAGAAAGATTGGAACTAGTTTCACTTGATACATAAACCGAGGTCTGTGATTACTTACAATCATACTGAAAAATTGCAGGGAATAAGAGATGAAAGACACCGACAGAGGTCAGGATCCACCAATTTCGCTGCAGCAAGGTCAAAAGCGTGGCGGCCTTCCTTACAGAGCATCTCCGAGGGAGGAAGCTAATGGCGGTTTTAATTTTAACGACCGGGGAATGGTACAGAAAGTGGAATGAAATTCATCTTCCCTTCAAACCTGGACACACAAAAAATTAGAGAATCCATGGAAAGTTGATATCAAGAATCAAGATATCAATACCATTGTGAACCACAGTTTCTAGTATTTTGAACCACAATTCAGTAATAATAATACCTCTGTATAGCTAAAAAGAGCAATGGAAATGAACATTTTTTTTTCAATCCAACAGAAGAATTTTATTTTGCACACATGATTTTCCATGTTCATGGTTGTGACTCCAACAAGAAAGCAATTTATGAAGTGTATGAAATATTTAGGCTTGTTTTCACACCAGTTATAAGCTAGCTATTTTTTTGATTATTTTTTGTTTTTAGTAAATTTTTTTGAATTGATTTTTTTTTTTGGTTTACTTCGTAAACGATTCTTTAAAAATGAAAATTGATACATTTTGAAAAATGTCCACTAAAGATAAAATAAGGAAAATTTTATCACAAATTAGGCTTATTGAAAAAACAAAATCACTAAAAATATTGGCTTATTTTTATTTATAGTCAACATTTTTTGAAATTTAAATTTTTAGATTGTCTAAGTCTAGCCAACTTGAAAAGTAAAAAAATATTGTAGTAAACTTTTTAATTTTTATTGTTTAAAGGTGGCCTAATCTAAACAGACTTAGAAAAAAAAACATTTGATGAGTCAAAAGATTAAAAATAAGTTGAAAAAATAAATCTAACTTGTAAACTGCAATCAAAAGGATCCGCAGAGACAATCACTTGAGTGGTTTTGAATACCCAAACTTCCAGTCCTGATCAACAAAAATTTGAGGCCAAAACATTTACCAAATCAGTTTCTCATATTGCAGTGCACCCAATTAAAATAAACAAGAAGCTAATTATTATTATTTTTTTTATTTTTTGATCATAAAAAAGGAGGTTCTGTGGGGGCATTACGACCTTCGTAGACCCAGGCCCCGGGGTAGCCGGTTGCCGGCCTAGTTTAACCCAATCCATAGGAAGGGACCTACCACCAAGGCATCAGTGGAGCTCATCAACCGCCCCAGCCCTGACCAAGTGCGATCGGAGTACAGCGCGAGGTCTTAGGAAAGAGCCCCTGGAAAATCCAGCCAGCCTAGTTTAACCCAATCCATAGGAAGGGACCTACCACCAAGGCATCCCTGACCAAGTACGATCGGAGTACAGCGCGAGATCTTAGGAAAGAGCCCTTGGAAAATCCAGCCGGCCTAGTTTAACCCAATCCATAGGAAGGGACCTACCACCAAGGCATCAGTGGAGCTCATCAACCGCCCCAGCCCTGACCAAGTGCGATCAGAGTACAGCGCGAGGTCTTAGGAAAGAGCCCCTGGAAAATCCAGGATTTTCGCGCCTCCCAGGAGTCGAACTTGACCCAAGGCTGTGGGAAGGCAATACTTTTACCACTGGGCCACCACCCTCGGTGGTAAGAAGCTAATTATTTAGAACAACTTTATGTTAAAATTCAAAAAAATATTATATCAGTGGTTCAAAGCATAACAAAGAGGCCCATTTTCAGGACAATGCCAGCATTTGGAGGACCTAACATGCACAAAAAGTTAAAACCCAGCTTGGTTAAGGTTGTGTGGATACCACTGTTTTGCTCTTTTGCTAGGTCAGATTTAAAAATAATAATAATAATTATTGAATTATTTTCAAGTCAAGAACAAGCCAAAAGTTATCTAACAAAACAAACTGATTTTCATTTTTAGTATAATTGAACCATTTGAAATTGGGAGAAATCAAATTCTGTACCAAGAGATTCTCTCAAAGGAGTTTGAGGAGGATTAGTACTCAGCTCTATTTCTACTTGTCAAGAGACTATTTTTGTAATTTAAATCTATGACACCCAAGTCAAAATAGATCAATTTTACTTATGTACCAAGACCTTATAATCTAAAATACAGTAAAAATTAATATAAAAAAATCTTCGCACACTTTTCTTGCAAAAGAAAATACAAAGTCGACTTCTATGCTACATGAACTAGGGCGCAATTGTGGAGTGCCTATACTTATTTAGAGGTCGAGCTTATCAAATCTCTAATTCAAAGGTACGTAGATTCAATAAAAAATTGTCATAGTCTTATAATATAATATATTTGTGAATAAAATGGTATTTTATGTGATATAGAGGGTAAAAAAAATATTTTATTTATTTTATAGCAATTATATAACGAATATGCATAGAATGACAATGTTAAATATAACTATACAAGAAGTGTCTGATAAAAAGTATGAACACATTCCACAATTTTATTTAAGTATCAAAGTGGACACAATTTATTTTGAAGAGTCTTGTAATATATACTCAAATTTTTATCTCTATCATAAATTTAACCAAAAAATACAACGTCTTTTTCACAAACTACATTCTTTAATTTTATTTTATTTAATTAATCCTATTCATTTTTCGTAACTAGGATTGTGACCATACAATATTGTAAAACAACATCAATCTCACAGATAATTACATATTGGTATCGAATTATTATATTTGATGAGACGTCTCTACCAAATTCAGTTACTCAAGCAGGTCAATTGCATTAAATGAATTAAAAAAATTCCAACTAACTCATCATTGCTGACAAATAATCGATAAAAGGAAAATAAATCTTTAGGGCCACCTCTGTACATTTTGTCCCTAAAGTCAAGGGTCAATTTATGGGACTTTTGTTCTATTATTCATTTTGTTTTTAATTATTATTATGGAATTTGTTAAATTATAATTATTCAAATATATATATATATTTTTTAATAGTGCAAATATTCTCATACTGATTGACAAGGGGGGAAAAAAAAAATTTGATTACTCAAATTTGATTATTTATAATGAATTTATGAGAATTCCAAAGCATGATACGATATACATTGTATTTGGGCAGCCAACTTCATAATTGCCACCAGTTCAATGCTCTATTTAAGTTAAATTTCCAATAAATTGAGATATATCCATATATGGTCTGCCAAATAGACTAAAGAAAGCTTATTTCATCTTAGATAGTCAATTGAATTAATATTTGCAATAATTGTTGAATATTTTTTAAACTAAAAACAAATGGTTGAACCTAAGCTATCACTAAAGTTAACTTTGTGCAGATTTTTTTGTTACAAGAAAATCCTCCCACTCTCCCGCAGGTCCAGGGTAGCGCCCCTTGCAGAGATCACCAAGGTGTCCTGTTGTCCGTTTTGAGATAGGAGAACTTTGTGCAGATTATTAGAAAGTGTTTATTGTAAACAGTTTCAAATAGAGAGTTGTTGGGAAAGGAGGGTGTAGGATAGGATTGAGCCATTCAATTTTTTTTTTTTTTATTAAAGCGCGGGAATCATCGGGGTTGTGGAGGTCTAGAAATAGTCTTTGCGTAAAATCTCATGGTTGTGTACTTGATCAATGGTTTTTTTATTTTATTTTAATTTCTCCAAATTATTCCTTTATTTTATTTTATTTTTTATGTGTACATTGTCCCCTTTTTAATTATTATTATTTTTTAGATAGGGGTCTTTTTTTTCAAAAAATTATAATAGCCACAATTGTATAGTATAGCCTAACCTGGTGAGCTCTTATAGCCAGCAGGCCCATACTTGAATGGACCACTTCGAACAGGCGGTCCAGAGCAGCAGATCTAAGCCTTGGGGGAGATTCTATTTGTACCCAAAAAAATCATTAAATGAGCCTAATTTCTCAGTATATTCTATTAAATTATTTAGAATTATAATTTACTCTTGATATATTCTATGTTTTTTTACAAATTACCTTTCAAAATGCACTCAAATAATAAATAAATCAAAAATATCAAATTACACCACTTTAAAAAAACTCATTCAAAAACCCTTAAACAAATTTTTCATTACAACTAGCAATTTTATTCACATACAAAGCACGATTAGTGTGAATTATTCTATATGGCATCATATTTACTTATATGTATTTCTATTATATTAGTGATAATCCCATGAAACACTTTGTTGAAAAATCCTAGGGTAATTCCATGAAGATTGAAAAACACGTTTGTTGTTGAACCTACATGGCATCTCAGAATGACCATCTAACAATTTCCATGTGTTTGGAGGAGCTCTAGAAATATGATTCCAGGGCATATTTCAATACTTCGTTTGGTTCAAGTTTTCAAAAATTGATTCTTATGTCACATTTCAAAACTCATTTCAGATCATGTTTGGAGAGTAGAGAATTTTTAGAATTTTGAGTCTACCTAGTCATCTTCGCGAACGTCCCCCCAGACGTCTGGAACAGTATTTCTTTTTTTTTTTTTTGCGATTTCCAATCGCCACCTGTTATTTGGGGAAAAAAATAAAAAATTTATATTTGTTTTTGATATTTTTTAAATATAAAAATTATTTTTTAGACCAAAATGACAAATTATTTTTTTGAATTAAATTTTAGAAAGAGTTTAGTTGTGAGTTTTGAATAGAATTTTCAATAGAGTTTTGAGTTTTGTGTTTGGTTATGAGTTATAAGTTTTTCAATCATAACCAAACAAATTTTTTCTTCTCAAATCATAATTCCAAAACTTACAAACTCAAAATACAACTCTATTATCAAATCATAATTATAAAACTCTACTAAATACTACCTAAAACTTTCCAAGATAATATTAGTTGATGTTTGATTAACTGAACGAGGCATTACTTACTTTCCGATTTGATTAATTGAATAAAAAATTTATTGTGTTCTTGACAATTTCCTCTTTCTTTCTTTTTTTCTCTAGTGGTACATATTATTCCGTTCATGTTTTATTCTATTTGTAAGTAACAACACAATAAGAAATAATAATATTGATGATAATTGTGAGTTTTGGTAAAATGAATTTGAGTTTTGGAGTGAGGAAAAAGATAAAGAAAAAATAATTAAAACTTTGAGTAGAAGATGAATAACATTGAATATGAAGAATATCTATAAATGATTTTGGTGTACTATGAGAAAAAAAATAATATCGTATTTTAGGGTTTAATTGGTATTATTTTTATTAGTAAATTTACATCAAAGCATAATAAGAATTGAAATTTCAAAATTTTTATTGAATGTATTGAGTCATTATTTGGGTGCAAATGGAATCACTCAAGCCTTGGGCTAACAAACTAAGATGGGTTCGTTCCTGGACCTGCCCAGCGCTTGCAGCAGCGCTGGCCCTCAGGCCCAAGACTCTGAAAAATGTAATCTCATGAAGCCCATTTCATAATGAAGTAACCAAACTGCTTCTTAACT